ATTGGAGCTTGGAAGAAGTTAGAGTGCGAAACATAGAAACATACATGAGTGGAAGCCGTACACATTGTCTTCAAGACTCTTCGGTTCATTTCGGGGTTTACCGGGGCACGAGCGGTGCCGTGACCCGCAGAAAAGTGTTCTTTGTTTGTTGGGCGTCCAGACTGGCTGCGCCCAGGGAGCTAAGGAAAGGCCACTCTCCTGGGGCAGCTGAGCGTGCGCAGCTGGGCTTCAAAGAGCAAACATGTCTATCAATACATATCAATACCAAGCTAGGTGAGGCTTATCTCTACCCACATGACTGTGATGACTATGGAAGCTACTGGAGGAATCTTCTGCAAGCAGGAGATCAACTCCACTTTTTTCTATGAGGATGCTGGATGGAGTGAAACCAAAAAAAACATCAATCAACCTGGCTCCGCTCCCCTGTCCTCCTCTGGCATCTCCGCCAACTGCGTTTCTGCTTCCCGTAGCTCGCGTCTTAGCCGCTCCACGCGCTCCGCCAGCTGCTGCCGCGGAGCCGTTGCGGAGACATCCTTGCAAGGAGGTTTGGAGGTTCACTAAGTTCTGATCTTCACATCTTCACTAAGGCAGATGGAAGAAGCGGGCGGCTTAATGAGATAGGAAGGAGCCAAGGAGCTTCAAAAAGCACCGGATGTGTGTGGTCCAGGTACCGAACGCAAATGAAAGTTGGGATGGCTTTGTTGATTGGAAACACGCCCCGCAAAGGAACCTGCAAACACTTGAGATTTGTGCGACACAAAGGTGTGGTAAGCTACAATGGTCCACAAAGGTTGACACTTCTCGAGTTTAGTTAGTCGACTCTGGGCGATGTGACCGTGTATCGCAGGATGGACTTGAATCCCCAGCCAGACATAAACCAAAACCGAACTAGTAAGAAGAAGCTACTAGTAGCAAGGTGCATCGCTACTAGTAGCAAGGACGCTAGTAGTAAGGTGTCTTATATACTTATACTGCTAGTAACAAGGTGCCTTCCTAGAGTGCTCAATGATCCCACGCATCCCTACATGGCTACACATGGCTACACTCGTCTCACTCATCTCATTGCACCATTCAGGCGAGCCACAGAGACACAAAGCCCAAGAAGCCCGAAGGTCACCGTCCCAAGGTGAGGCGCCATGGCACCGTTTTCAGGAACCAAGGAGGTTCAAAATATCAAAACATGTTCAAATGTTGACTTCCTTTCAGGTCGGATCTCAGGTCATTCCGTCTGGATTCGGGAGATGAGGTGGCCTCATGGGCGAGTGATGATTAGGGGGCGAAGAACCGCCTTCTTTTCGTATATCTTCAGACTGTGCGGCCAGTTCAACGTGGTCGGGAGATGCTCAATCAGGAAAACCACATTGGATGGGGTCACAAATCGATGAACAAACAGAACCTTTGCAATGACGAAGTGAATGTCTCAGCTACACTCCAGTTCCGTGGGTGCTGTGCTGTGGGGCGGAGTTCAGCTCAAACCTGCTTCCATGGCTTCTTTATGCTTCTGTGAGCTTCAGTGGCCTTCAGTGAACCACGTCTTGACGGACTCTCAGGGATGAGCTCCACCTTGCATTGTCGGGCCACTTTCTATTTGAAGGATTTGTGCTAAACGTCTAAGCACTCCGCTTCCCTCTCCAATAGTTCAAGATTGCTCTGATCCGTGAAAAGCCTGCAATTCTCCTGCCTTTCACGTGAGCATCCCAACCTCCTTGAGCCAAAGCTGCGGAATCTGCGGCATGCCCAACTCCCCGCACGCGCGGCTCCCTGCCCCTGAAAACTGACACGAAAACTCCGAACGAACGCACGAACGAACCCAAACGTGACAAGGCAAATATACCTTGGGGCTTTCAAAGGTTCGGCAAATTGATATTCCGTCCATCCCATCTGAGCACATCGGCAACCCTCACCCCTCGAAACCTGACACCGGGCGTAGCTTCTCCTCGTTGGAGCCCGAGAGCCTGTCGAGTGGAACTGAAGAGCTTCATTCTCGACTGAAGCCGACTGGCAGTGATGGGTGTGGATGAACATATTGAAGCCGGAATCAAGGCCAGCTTTGATTGAAAGGACAAAAGAGCCCAAGAAAAAGCAGTTGGCTCCTAAGTAGTTTCTCAGGTCTTCAATCTCAAAAGCAGAAAACAATTACCGTGTCGCACACTTCGAAAACTTATATGATTACCTCTGAAAAGCTATGTATATTATATATTATACGCATAATACCGACTATACCATCCGTCAGATGGGATTATATGGGATAGTCCTTGTCCTTTCCACTCAATTGTGACATGGTTGTTCCTCGGAATTGCGCTGTCATGAATCCAACTAGTCCATACAGTCACAATTGCCGGTGTGCGGCATCGTCCCCAGTCGTACGTCTTTTCCAAACAAAAACAACTTCACAGAACCCGCAGCACCACTGAGGGGGGGACCGTGGCCAACTGTCACTTCATCCACCTGGGCTGTGCAGGCCCTTCGGGCACTTCGACCTGGCAGGGAAGTGCACCAGGGAAGAAAGTGCAGAAATTCAATTGTCGCGTCGCAGCGGTCGTAGAAACCCCCGACGAAAGAGACTAGACTTCAAAGGAGTTCCCAGTTCCCATCGTTTTGGGGGGTGAAGTGCTTCTGTAAGAGTGTAGATCACAAATGCGATCTAACAAAGAACGTCTGGAAACTTACCCCAAACCAACCGGTTGGACTTCAATGGGACGATCCCTGAAGATGTTCACTCCCCAAATAGTAAATGGTGAACATGGCATCTTACCCGCAACCTTGTCCCCAAAGACACCCATTGTGAGAGGAACATCGTTTCTTCGGACACTTTTTTCACGGTAGTTTTCGGAGGACTGGTGTGATGCAGCGGAGCATGATGCACTCTTCTCCCCAAGTATCTGTTGGAGGGTGATCTGGAAAACAGCCAAGCCAAAGGTCTTGCTGTGCGATTCCTTCAAACAAGTACAGGTGGGCAACAAGTACAGTCCTGCGATATGTTGCGATTTCACAAGGTCGAATCTGCTTCTCCTTTGTCTCCACCATCTTGACCTCCACCCCACCTGCCAAACCCACACACAACATCGCGCCACCCGCGGAGTCCGTCCCGCAGCTTTTTGGTGCCCCGGGGAAGCATTGTCACGGCGGGGTGGCCCCCCGTCCCTCACGTGGCGGGGCGCCCCCCGGCAGGGCGGTGGGTGATCCACCGACGGTCCTGAGACTGACTGTAGGGCGCACCACACAGGGAGGCGCACAGCCATACCAACGACTCTGGGAACACCTCTAAGTAAATTTTGTAGTGTGTTGATTTTCTGTAGATCTTTCGGAAAGGCTTTTCATAAAGCAAAGTAAGCTGGTGTTCCTAACTGAGACACCGAGTCTGCGAGGCCAAACTATAAAATGCTGCCTAGCTCGCGCCTTATCTCATCTGAGGACCGGCTCTTCGCGAAGTCGCACCGCTGCAAAGCTTTGTCTGACAACGGCCACTAGCTGGGAAATGGCTCAACCCCAGAGTGTTGCCACACAGTGAAATATTGCTTGGTGAGTTCATTCTAGCACTGCCACCAGTCGGCGCCTCCCGAAAAATGTCTTGGAGCCAAACCCGCCAATTCGATCTGGGCAATGCAGGGATCGTCTGAGAGGATGATCTAAACACAATCAACGTGTCATTCAGGTCTGACAGGCATTGGTACCTGCTTTTTGCCGGAGCTGTCCCAGCTCTGCCACATGTGCAATGACTCATACATCTATGTTGTGCCCCAATGAAAGCTGTTCGCTCACATGAACAACAGCGATGTTTAGCACACTCCCAAGCTCCCCTTCGCAGCGTCGAATTTGTTCAGGCGGAAGAATTTGTCCCGCGTGCTAAGATGTGCACGGCCAGCATTGTGAGCAGCCCGATGCGAAAATCTTCACAACTTGGAGTGAGTTCACACTGAGCTCACTGGTCTTTCCGTGTGCAAAGGCGCTGCTAGCGAATCGTTTACCAAGTGAAACTTAATGACCTTGAAATAGTGTAGGAGGTCACTGATCCACTGCTCTTTGAAGCTCATCGCTCTACAGAGTCCCATGGAACATGGATGCCTCTGGCTCAAAATCAGCCAGATAGTGACGTTCCCTACTGATTCTAAGGTGGTTCTGAATGAATCCAGGTACAACCTGAACGCTTCCCTCATCCCAAGAACCAGATCAATGGATCATGGATTCATAGATGTTTCGTTCGTCTCAGCAACGGCTTTGGGCTCACGCAGCTGCACCCGACCGGTCGGGTCCTAACGCCCGGTCGCGGTCAGGCCAGATTCGTCTCCGCCTCCGAGAGCCATTTCAATCGGCGGCCCTCCTCCCAGACTCCTGTGGCGGTTCCGTTTGGTGGCGTCCGATCGCTCCGTTCGTAGTACGGCCAGGAGCCCCGTTCGTAGCTTCTTGTTCCTAGTAGCGATGCCAGGAGCCCCTAATAGCGTCCTTGCTCCTAGTAGCTTCCTTAGACTCCTGTGGCGGTTCGTGAGTCTGTGAGTCTGGTGGACGTGCCGATGGATTGTTACAGACCCTTTTTGCGTTGGGTGTTTTGGGAAGCGGAATGATAGACTTGGCCCAGAGTCGAGATGTTCGCAGCTGCCACAATTCCAGGGGGTGAAGAAAATAGGGAATTTTACAATCAAACCTTCCGGCCAGTCCTTTAAAGCAATCACCACGCTTCTGAAACTTCTGTTCTGTGGTCGGGTATGTATGAACAGGTATGATTCTGTTGATCTGAACATCTGTTGGAAGAAAGTCATGTAAACTAGAAACAATGTTTGCTACTAGGAACAAGTGCATCGCTACTAGTAACAAGTGCCTTACTAGTAGTAACAAGAAGCTACTAGAAACCACAAGCTACTCGGGTGAACCATGTAGCACTAGGACAATGTCGATCCATCCCCAGCAGCTTGCTTGAGACCCAAATCAAGGCATGACCCCGAACTGCAGATCCGGCGGAACCCTGCGGGGCCAATCTCCTTGCTTCTTCTCTCCGGCCAAACTCACCTCAGCAGCTCGTGGCGTTGTTGAATGCATCAGGAAGGCTTGTTGGTTCTGCATTCTTTAACACCCTAAAATCTCCATGCATGCCTTATATCATTAGCCTTTGACATCTTCAATATGCGATGATTCTCAACAGAATTGACATCTGCTTGACGTCGTGACTTTCTCCCTGAGGTCTGCTCAATCAAACCCTGAGCACTTGTAGGGAAACCTCTGCAGGGATGAGTGCTTCGGCTTCATCCCCTTCCACACCTCAAAGTGTCCACGACTGACGTAGAAGGAGATCTACCTGGCACCCACACTGAGCTTCCCAGACGTAAGAGCCCGTGCCATGTTGTTTGCCATCCTTCCTGGTTGCGAAATCCGGGAGCAGGTCTCAAGGAGAAGGGCTTGTGACTAGGTACCATTTGGAGTTAATGAATGCTATTGACCGGACATGCTACATGTTTGGCCACTGCTTTTTGGTGGATCCAATCCTGTAGGTCCTGTACCCCCTCGTGTTCCAACAAGTTCCCTGCTCTTTAAGACCTAAAATCCCTTTGTCTCCACAACCCTCGGTGTGCGGTGTCATCCAACGCCCGTTTCGAGGGCATGGCCATTGCCCATCATACTTTCGGCCATCAGGCCAGGAGAACCTCAAAACGTTGCAGGAGGAACGATGCTGCGGACTACGTGACGAATTACGCATGCTTTTGGTAGCCCTGACTAACCAAGTGACCCGAAACTGATGATGCCTTTAGGAGCGGGGTCAATGGTTTCAAGCTGAGTAGAACGGTTGGTCAACCAAAAATCAGCGACTCCGCCTCGCGCTGTGTTTGGGAACTGATTGATGTACCAGCGGCAGAGTTCAGACCAATGATCAGCAGCTGTCACCAGAACAAATGAATGGGTGAAAGCACTCTTCCCAAGACAAAACCACGTCGGATTCTCTGGGCTCTAGCAAGTACTGTAGTAGCCGATATTGTCCCCGACACTTTCAAATGACTAGTCAAGTGGATCTCATGTTTAGATCAATGAAGCCTCAATTCCTTTCGAGTCACTCACTTCCCTTCGATTCCCTTCGATGTCCTTGAAACCTTCAGGGTTTGATCTGAGTTCTCTGAGCTTCTGGCACTCCGTGCCCATCCTTTGAATCCTTGGAGCAAAAGGTGTTGGGTCGGGAAGGGCATGCTGACCTTCCCTGTTTTGCCGGTGCCGAAGTGTCCGGCAGAAAGTAACAGAAGGGTGTCCATTCAGGGGAGTTGGGAAAGTTGGCTTATAATGGCTTACACCTAGCAGCTACATCACCTCCTGTGCTTCAAGGATCAAATTCTGCTCCCTATACATACTCCCCGACGTAAATCCAGAGCCCTCACACGAATTCTGACACAGGGGGCAGTGCCCGGGCAGTGTGGACGTTCATTCTGAGGGCCTGGCTTCCTTGTATTGTCCTTCCTGAGAAGCGGGATGGAGGAGTCAAGAGGCACTGGAGAACCATGTAGAACCAAGTCGCGATATGTATACTGTGTGAAACGCTCGGATTCATGGAGGTTCATCCTGTCCAAGTTTTCCAACTGGTGACGTGAAGAGGAAAGAGAGGCAAAGACCATGTACCTAATTGCTTTGCTTGTACCTTTTGCATTGCGTATACATTGCTTGTACTCCAAAAGCCCGTTTTGACAAAAAGAAGAGAATTCATTCGCCTCGTATCCACCGAAACAACTCGGTCACCGCTTCGTCTGAGCGGCGTAGGTGCGGCCATCTGCCCAGGTGAAGACCCCATGGCCGTGCATACGGTTGTTCACCTCGTCTGTGCTCGGTGGCTCGTTCGGTTGGGTTTTGGGGTCGAAGTGGTAGAGCTTGGCTCTTCAGAGATGGTGGTGTTGTATCACGTTGTCACGACCAAAGTTGATCAAAGCGATGCGTGTCTCTCACTGCAAACGTGCCAAGAAGTTGGTAGCCCAAGCACAAGCTGCAGCAAAATCTGGATCGACTGAGCACCCGGCCCACTGCCCTTGGTACCTTCGACCATCACCCTGAAGACAGCCGTGGCAGAGGAGAGGGAAATCTGTAGACTTTCGAAAGTGAGATGGGTGAGGTACCCGGAATGGCGAACGAAGATCAGTGGATTTGCCATCTCAAAGAGACTGGTAGAGACAAAGACATCTAAAGACTGGTAGAAAAGGTAGAGACCTTAGTGAGGTCCAGACTTCTAGAAAGAGCGGAGCCTGGGGAATTTTGAGAAGAAAATTTCAAGTATCGATCTGTTCACAGCGGGAATTGAGGTTCCACCAAACCTGGATGCCGCACCCCCAGTATGACCCACAAACAACTCGAACAACTCGAGTGAACATGCCAGGACTATCTGACATGGATCAGGTTCAGTTACGGTTACTCAATACCATTGAAGCCTTCCGAGCATCAAGTTTATGAGGATTATGTACACTGTAGTATGGAGCATTTGACAATGTGAAACAAAAAGACCATGAGGCAGTTAGATGTAAATGGTCATTCTGTCACTCCAGGACGTTGGGACTGGCCCTGCCATGGATCCTTATGCAGGGACCAAGTCTGAAAGGTTCCACCTAAGGCACTAAGCCCCATTGAACAATCCATTTCTCATTTCTCCATCCTTAAATAAAATCTAGCGGTATTAGGACGCTTTAGGTGGAGGCCATCGCAAGTAGGTTGGAGGCCGTCGCTACTAGGAACAAGAAGCCTTACTGAAACCCAAATTCCGAAGCTTCTGCCCCACATTCCTTCCCAAGTGGCGAAGCCTCCCTTCGTGACGACGTTACCTTGTTACTAGTAGCTTCTTGTTACAGGTGAAACGATTCCCAAAGGAAGCTTCTAGTTCCTGGTAGCTTCTTGTTCCTAGTAGTAAGGCCAGGCCAGGAGCCCCTAGTAGCGTCCTTGCTCCTAGTAGCTTAGTAGCGATGCCCTTTGCTCCTAGTAGCGATGGCCTCCAATCTAGTAGCTTCTCGCTACGACCCGTTGGAGCGTCCGGACCCAAATGTACAGCCCTTCGCCGTTGATCTCGTTGTCGCGGAAGCCGCCCTGGTGACGCCGGGAACTGCAAAGGTGGACCGTCGAACACCAGAGACTCTGAAAATCCTCTTGTTCCGTTCGTTGCAAGAATCCTTTCGTAGCGATGCCAGGAGCCCCGTTCGTAGCGTCCTTGCTCCTAGTAGTAAGGCCAGGAGCCCCTAGTAGCTTCTTGTTCAAATAAGTTGAGATGCTGGGAATGGGACTACCGAACAAGCACCTAGAGGACCCTGTTGGGGCTGGGGATCGGGCCATTGGGGAGTTCACATGCAAAAGAGCAGAGGGGGGAAGCATGAGGAGAGATGGACTGCAAAATGGGCGATATGCAGCAGAGTTGCCTATAGATCGGAGTAGTGTTCCAAGTCGAGAAACATTGATCGACTTGATTTTGGCTAACAGGCTAACAAAAGGGTGCAGCCATGGGAGATCTGGGTGTCAATGCCTACTGCATTCGCACTAGTTTGGACGCAAATATGAGTCACTCAGACCAAGCCTCACTGATGTGGTCTCCCCAATCCATCACATTCATCACACATACAGACCATATTATATACATACCATCCAATTCCATCCACAACCACTCTCACTACTCACTACTCCAAACACCCTTGTCACTCTACCCCTCCTGACCTCGTAACTCGAGCGATCCGCCCAACTGAAGCTTCCCTGGCCGTTCTTCCGGCCCTCCTGAGAACGGCGACGGCACAGGCTTTTTGTGTTTGATAAAAATCCGCCACTAGTAGTTTTTTGCTACTAGTAACGATGCCCTTGTTCCTAGTAGCGATGTCCTTGTTACTAGTATATAGCTTTTTGTTACTCACAAAGAAAGCATCCCAAACTCATTCAATCATCACGTTGTCCCATGGCTCTTGTCCCTGGACTGAGCTTCCCTGCCAGGTAGTCCCCTTGGTATCTGGCACCTCACTCCGATTGGACGAATCAGAGTGGTGGTTTTGTTTATCTCAAAGCCAAGGTAGACCAAGTCATAGAAAGGGCAAGAAAACAAACATGTCAACCCAAGGTGGTTCACGGTTCCAACCACCTCATTGAGAGCAAAGTGAAACTCATCCACAGAATTGATTACCAGCCTGGAAATCCATGTATCCAAGAGAAAATGGTCTCAGAAGTTCCATCCAAAGCTTCTCAAAGTCCAAAATGCCCCCGTGACCGGCCGACTGACCGGGTGACGCATGCACCCAAGTAAAAAGACTCACACAGCTGCAGGTTCAGAGACTGCAATCAATCGGACCAGCGACGGACCAGCGCTCGGCACGCTGAGGTTCCACACCGTCAGGCCAAAGCTCTAAGCCACGGCCGTGCCTGTTGCAAAAGAGATTGGACGGTCAGAATGAGGCAGAAAACCGGAGGACTTCATGAACAAAAACGTTATGACATAATATTTAGAATGATGTAGATTGACGATGATTGAGATTGTTGTTGTTGTTGTTGTTGGTTGTTGTTGGTTGTTGTTGGTTGTTGTTGGTTGTTG